AGAGTCTGATATGACTCTCCGTTTTTTAATTTGGCGGCTACTTCGCCTAGATCCTTGCACCTTAGGCCGCACTTCCTCTTCGCTCTCAATTTCATTATCTTCTTCATTCTTATCTGATGCATAAGTTGTACCCACCTGGAAGGCAAGGAAAGAACATGTAAAAACAAAGCAAATTTGGAAAAGTACAATACTACTGGGCTACCACTCATATACCAAGAGAAAAACCTGTGGCAGAGCCATGCGCCACATGAACCGCATCCAGCGTGGTCAGCGAAGGATTAAAGAAAACGGACAAGAGAATATATTAGTTGGGGCCAGGTGGATCACTGTGCCTGGATGAGTAAACAGTGACACAGCCTGTAAGCATTTTACAGTCAGATCACACAAAGCAAAACAAGTAAGTCAAGATGTTTACAATGATTTTCTTTCAAGTTATTGTACTTCTCTGAACTCTATCAAACTTTGTTTTGGTAGCACTTGCTGCACCTCCCACAGCCTACATCCCTCAGCCACCTAGGATCACAGGGTCGGACCTTAAGGTAAAGCTTAATTGTGCTCAAGCTGGGATTTACATGTGGCTTTGCCATAAGAGGACCATGCCCTCTCATCAGTCTGAGGCTTGAACCTGTCCAAATGCTGTAGCTGCTCTCCACAAAAACCAACCTTGTAAAATGAGAAACCATTCTCTTTCTCAAGGATTTGTTTCACCTAACATTAAAACAGGTATCACACTACAAGATGAAGCAATTCTGTCATGACAGTTCTATCCTATACAATGGTGATGAAGCATGACCATATATATCACAAATGCCCATCTACCCAATAAAAGAGTAACATGCTAATTGACCATACCTTTGTGGTGCCCACTAGCCAATCAGGAGTGACTATGCAAATAAACCCAACAAAGATGACAGGTTAATTTGCATACACAGGCACCAAAGGAGGGGTGGGAGTACGGGGGGGGGGGGGGGGGGGCGCGCGGGCATGCGAGGCAGGCATTCCGCACTACCCCAGCTGCTCTGGGCCTGAGCAAAGGCAGTGCATGCAGCGAGGGGAAGGAAGGCCCATTCTCGCACGAATCTTTGTGCATCGGGCTTCTAGTAATTGATGTATTCATTAGTCATAGCTACAGAAATAAAATCTTTAAGTCTCCCTGTTTTATCTTCCAGGGTTATCTCTTCTACAGATAATTATATAGTTTGTTTACCATTTTATATACCAATTATTTTTCAACCCAAGGGTATGTCCAGATAAGGGGTAGAGAAACATCTATTGATCTGCCTCCCTTAAACACCCCTATTGGGAATCAAACCTACAACCTAGCCAGCCAGTGTTGCTCAGTGATTAAGCATCAACCTATGAACCAGGAGGTCATGGTTCAATACCCAGTCAGGGCACATGCTCAGGTAGTGGACTTGATCCCCAATAGGGAGCATGCAGGAGACAGCCAATTAATGATTCTCTCTCTCTCTGAAGTCAATAAAAATATATTTAAAAAAGAAAAAAACAAAAAAAAACAACCTAGGTATGTACCAACTGAGAATTGAACCCACAACCTTTTAGTGTACAGGATGACACTCCAACTAACTGGGCCCCTTTTATATATTCTTTAGTATAATTAAGCAATAAGTAATCTACACTGATTTTAGGACCCTTAATCTTCCACAAACCAACAGAATCTTAGGCAAAGCACATCTATCTACTTATGGGATCTCTGTAGTTACTATCCATCAAGTTCTAAACCTGATTAATGTTATGATCCCCTGGTCTCAACCTCAAAATTAAAAACTTTTCTTTCATTTCTCTTAAAATACTCATTATGTTAATTCACATATACCCTCATCTATAAAACAGAATAAAACAAAAATCAAGCTTATAGATGCATCTCTTTTAAACACATACATCATTAATTTACTAAATTAGAAAATGTTTTAAATAAACAAGTTAATTGTTTTAAATTAACAAATCACTTGTTCATTTTCTTAACAGGATTTAATTCCATCAAATAGTAACCATTAACATTTGAAACCAAGGTTATACTTCAAAGTTACTCAACCTCTATCCTTATACAACAAAAAGTATTAGAGCATATAAATGGATAATGAATTTTCTAAGCTTATTATTGGACATTCTGACCAATTTAATTACTTTGTCCTTACTGGCCCTAGCTCTCTACTTATTACCACCTCTTATAGCATGTGTCTTCCAGCAGGGTTGAGGACATTAATAAAATGGGGTGTTAGGCTGCAGAGACTCTATGTAATCTAACTTACCCTACAATCCAGGGAAGTATAGAAGTATGTGTCCGTGAGTACTAAAGTATATGCAGAAGTAAAACAAGAGAATGTCACTTTAATATGCCACCCTTTTCCATCATTCTCCTAGCAGAAATAACTGCAATGTCTCACCTCCATTTCCTCCTCCTCTGGTTCTGAGGGCTCATCACACACTGCCAATTCAAGTCTCTTAATCTTATCTTTATTCAAGGCTTCATCTGCACGCTGCATTGCTCTGAGTATTTCAGGCTTTGAACTGTAAAAATGACCTCCTTTCTGGGCTTCCTTTGATTTTGAACCTAAAAATATATATTAATAAGAATTGTTGGCTAGTTGGTTCAACCTATAACACCTGCCCAAATGAACAAGAATAACAATAATCAAGTATAACTTTTGCTATACCATTATTTTCATTAATAAAACTAGATCAATAAAGCCCACAAGGAAGTTATTTTCAGGGTAAAACTACCAGTGAAACTGAAATTACCTATTTTACTTCCTTGCACTTGTATCACCCAGGACTACGAAGTCGCTATTCTAATGACCTGGGACTATAGCCTAAGCAAACTGGTAAGGCATACCTCTTCAGGTGAGGTATGAGTTGTAAAGGGGTTTGTTTTGAGACTTTTTTTAAAAATTACTTCAGGAAGGCAAAGACTACACATGTTAAATGAAGTTATGATAATTAAAAATAAGTTTACCCTGCCCAGCCGGCATGGCTCAGTGGTTGAGTATCAACCTATGAACCAGGAGATCAAGGTTCGATTCCTGATCAGGACACATGCCCAGGTTGCAGGCGTGGTCCCCAGTGTGGGGGCATGCAGGAGGCAGCCTATCAGTGATTCTCTCTCATCAATGATGTTTCCATCTTTTCCCTCTCCCTTCTCTCTGAAATCAATAAACTTTAATTTTTAAAACTGTAATATTAACTGAGCAAAAAGGTTAATGGTACAAAATTACTTGGTTCTTTTCTAGGAATCATAACTAGGAATGTCTGTTTTCTCCTGCCCAAATATAACTATAATTTAAAAACAAACGTGAATCTAAATTAAAGAGATCCCAATTTCTTTCTGTATACTAAAAATAATAGGACATCCTAAATTTTCATGGATTTAGCAACTTTTATGGGCTGCCTAAAATAATGATTTCCCATTTCTCTAAAAAGCTGCACCAAAGCTACAAATTGCAACAATCAAATTCATTTGTAGAGGCTCTAAACTTTCCTCAGTGTGCCTATTGCAGTTGTACTCACCCCTCACCTCTCTAAATTCATTTGCCAAAGCTGTGTTTAGAATCTCACAATTACTCCTGGAAAAGGACCTCATTCAACGTAAGAGTCCAACTCACTCATTCTGTATGAGTAAACAGTATCAAAAATAAATCACTTTGGCCTTGGCCACTGTGGCTCAGTTGGTTGGGGCGCCTCCCATACACCAAAAGATGGCAGGCTTGATTCCAGGTCAGGGCATATACCCAGGTTTCAGGTTCGGGTGCATATGGGAAGACACTGATTGATGTTTCTCTCTGACATTGGTGTTACTCTCTCTCCCTTCCTTTCTCTAAAAGTCAATTAAAAATATTTTTTTAAGAAATTACTTCATTGACCAAGATGGTACAGCAAATTAGTGGAAAAGACTAAATTTTCTGCTTTAGCTCAATGGGAAGAAGTCAGACAAAAGGAGGTCTTGAAGACAGGATCAAGGGGTTAGCCCCAAGTCAAGCTGCTGCTGCCCACTGCTCCCTGGCTACGTGTCTTATGGGGACCCTTAGAAAAAGTTCATGCCTGGGAAGGGCCACAGGTGTGCTCTTGTGTGAGCCCACATTAAGTCTTTGCCCTTGAAGGCTTTTTTTTTTTTTTTTTTTTCTGCAGGCAAGAATCTTAGGGAAGACTTTCAGTAGACTATTCATCAACTTTCCAGATGCATTTTTAATATGTTGATGCATCAAAATGAGTATATTGTAGTGTTTTGGATAATAGTTTGATCTATTTTACTGTTTCACTTTATCTTAGATCTCTCTGGCTTTAATGGTGTTTTTTTTTATTTATTTATTTGTTCCCCAACTTCATCTGTCCTTGGGTTTAACTGATACAAATGGCCTTGAGTCTTTGTTCTCTATTTTCCTAGGCCAGTGTGATTCAAGCTATGCATTTTCTGGTTAGAAAGAAGGGTACAAACCATTTGCTCTCGTGTCCTTGCTTAGGGAAGATATGGTCTTGCAACTTACAAGCTGCCCAAATTGTTGGGCCTTATTTAATTTTCTTGTCTCTTCTGATTCCACAACAATGAGTTCAAAAATGTCCTAGGCTGGCCATAGCAAGTATGATTCAGTTGGTTGGAGTATCGTCCCGTACACCAAAGGTGAGTTTGATTCCCAAATGGGGTGCATACCCAGATTGCAAGTTTAATCCCTGTTGGGGCATGTGCAAGGCAACTGATCGATGTCTCTCTCACATCAATGTTTCTGTCTCTCTCTTTCTCTCTCTTAAAAAAAAGTCCTGCCAAAACCAGTTTGGCTCAGTGGATAGAACATCAGCCTGCGACTAAAAGGTCCCAGGTACGATTCCAGTCAAGGGCATATACCTTGGTTGCGGGCACATCCCCAGTGAGGGCTGTGCAGGAGGCAGCTGACCAATGTTTCTCTGTCATCGATGTTTCTATCTCTTTCACTTTCCTCTCTGTAAAAAAATCAATTAATATATTTAAAAAAAAAAAAAAAAAAAAAAAAAAAAAAGTCCTAGCTTGGAAAATCTGAGGATAAAGACTTGTTTAGCCGAGACCGGTTTGGCTCAATGGATGGAGTGTCGGCTTGGGGACTGAAGGGTCCCGGGTTCGATTCCGGTCAAGGGCATGTATCTTGGTTGCGGGCATATCCCCAGTAGGGGGTGTGCAAGAGGCAGCTGATCGATGACTCTCTCTCATCCATGTTTCTATCTCTCTCCCTTCCTCTCTGTACAAAATCAATAAAATATATTAAAAAAAAAAAAAAAAGACTTGTTTAGGTTCGATGCTTGAGTGTACACTGTGTTATGCAATCATACTATGCATGCATATGTAATTCAAGAGATTTGACAGGATGCACAAAACTAACCCAAGTGAAGCTACACACTTGTAGTCTGCTGATACCTGTGAAATATGGCTGAGCTGAGAAAAGAAAGTTCAAATTCCAGAAGTTTGATATGAAAGTGAACTCAGATGTGCTCAATTCAATGGTGATGATTTTTTTTTAACTTTTTTTTTTTTTTTGAGACAGAGAGAGGAAGTGGAGGAAGAAAGGAAGGGGGGGAGAGGGTAAGAGAGAGAAACACTGACTTGTTGTTCCATATATATATATACATGCATATATATATGTACATTGCTTATTTCTTTCTTGTATGTGCCCTGACTGGGGATCAAACCAGCAACTTTTGTGTATCAGGACCTTGGTCTAACCAACTGAGCTACCCAGCCAGGGCGTAAGTGAGGATTTTGAAGGCCAGGAAAGCATACATTCCATTTGTGCTAGAGAATGCCGTTCATCTATATGCTATGTATCCTGATTACATTGCCTTTCTTTTTCATACTTTAAGACAGTGTTTCTCAAAGTGTGGCACGCGTACCCCAAGAGGTATGGGAAGAGTTTGGTGGGAGTACGCGTTGCACCGGAGTTTGGTGGGGATATGCACTGCACTGTGCTTAGCTGCACCTAACTCTATGTTCTCATGAGTACAGGGGGTACTCAGCGTTATGAAAATTATAGAAGGGGTACACATATGTCAAAAGTTTGGGAAACACTGCTTTAAGATATTGTTTAATTTACCATTTTCATATCTGAATTTGATATTTTGGTCCAAAGCTTAAGATTTGATTATGATATCATCTTTCCTTTAAGGCACATGTGTCAAACACAAGGCCCGTGGGCCAAATCCGTCCCGCCAGGCCTTGCAATGTGGCCCGCACCGCGCTGTCATCACTGCACTCTGCTGCGTTTCCATCACAATGACAGTTTATGACTGTTCAGTAAACCATTCGGCCCGCGATTTAGGCTGGATTTTAGATTTTGGCCCCTTCTCTGATTGAGTTCGACACCCCTACTTTATGGGCATAATATGCTCAGCCAGTGTGGCTCAGTGGTTGAGTGCTGACCTATGAACCAGGAGGTCACAGTTCTATCCCCAGTCAGGGCAGTAGGGGGTGTGCAGGAAGCAGCCCATCAATAATTCTCATCATTGATGTCCCCCTCTCTGAAATCAATAAAAATATATTTAAGGGGGAGGGGGGGCATGATACTACTGTAAGTCACTTAAAGGACATAAGTATTCCATTCCACACACCAACTAGTTGAAAACCTGATGCATCTTAATCCTTTTCCCATGCTAAAATCTTTGCCCCATCACTCATATTCATTGTATAGGAGATGCTGACACTTCACATCTGTGGGCTCTGTCATTCTCTTACTTACACTTATACACACACACAGACACACACACAGTCACTCTCACTCTTCAGAGTGACTCTCTTACCTGTATATGGCTTTAATAGCCTTCTGCTAACCCATCCCCTTGTTGGGCTGTCATCAAAAAACTGTACATGAACTCGGGCAGACTTCCCTTTCTCACGGATGAATGTTCCATCAAAAGGGTGGTTGTAAACCAGGCAAGGCCACCAGGGATAACCCTCCATCTTGGCCCAAACCAAATCACCTGGTGAGAAGTCACAAGAACTGTTGCCAAAAGGAAATACATAACTTGATTAATATTTGGTTAAGTTTCATCCAAGGGAATTAATTACCCATGAATAAACAATTCCAAGGAAGATATTAAGAGTCCTCTGAAGTATTCTGGCATTAACATTCAAGCATAGACATTCTAGACTAAATGATTTTTCAAAATCAAATGATCAAGTATATTTTAAACAATAAGCAATGTCACAATACATAAGACATAAGCCAAACATAAGTATAATGAATTTTGCTATTAAGATGAAAAATTTTCAAAGAATCTTTGGTAGAATGTTGATGGCAAGAAAAAGATTTAGACTCGATGTACATATTGCTCTCCAAATTACAAATCATACCTATACTTACTCCAATATGGTATATGTCAGGAAGTGGCTCCAGTATTAATAAAATGCCAAACATACCCACTATGTAATTTCCTAATTATATTAACTGCCAGTGGCCCAGTGCACGAAATTTGTGCACATGGGGAGGCAGAGGGTCCCTCAGCCCAGCAGCCTGCACTCTCCAATCTGGGACCCCTTGGGGGATGTTGGACTGCCAGTTTAGTCCTCTCACAATTCGGCACCCCTGGCTCCTAACCTCTCACCTGCCTGCCTGCCTCACCCCCAACTGCACCCCCTGCTGGCCTGATGGCCGCTAACTGCCTCTGCCTTGGCCCTACCACCATGGCTTTGTCCAGAAGGTCTCCCAGTATAATTAGCATATTGCCATTTTATTAGTATAGACTAGAGGCCTGGTTCACAACATTCGTGCACTGGGGGTCGGGGGGGGGGGCGGTCCCTCAGCCTGGCCTACACCCTCTTGCAATCTGTTGGCACTGCAGCTATGCTTGCCAGCCGTGAGCCTGGCTTCCAGCTAAGCAGCACTCCCCCTGTGGAAGTACACTGGCCACCAGGGGGCAGTTCCTGCATTGAGTGTCTGCTCCCTGGTGGTCAGTGCATGTCATAGTGACCCTTGATTCTGCCTTTCGGTAGATTTTCATATTAGCCTTTTATTATATAGGATTACCTCATTAGACTTTGCTTGTGCTCTTTAGATAAGCTCCTCTATATCCCAAACACTACAAAAGCTACCTACCAGTCACTACTGACCACCTGCTACTAAAAATCTAGTTTTATGGGGGAAAAGTCAACAGATAAGTGCCCAAAATATAGAGTGCAAAATGCTTACAGAAGCACAACAATTTAATCTTCACAAAAACTGATTTAGCCCTAAAAGCTTCCTGCAAAAGGGAAAGGAGCAAGGGGAGAGAAAAGAGAAGAATCTAACTAACAGACTACAGCCTCTCAATGATAGAGGCCACAATGCTGATAAACCCTGATAAAAGGTTCACTGAATAACTACTAGAATAAGTACATTACAAACAATATTTTAAACTTTTTATTTTTTTAATATTATAGACATTTTAGAAAGTGATCAGTAGTCAATTGAGGCCACCTTATTCAGACCCAATCAGGAAAATGTGTTCCTTTCTTCACACTATGTGTGCAAAGACACGGGAGCATAACTTCAGCTAGTAGTTGTCAAGGGCCTTTATAAGTACATATATTCTTTTCTCAATTTATAGAAATCTATAGCTACCTATACTTTCTAAATATTGCCACCAAGCATGGGTCATCTTCAAACAGGAAGCTCTGTCTGCACAATTCAAAGTTCTTATCATAGCTTCTTCCTTACTAATATATCTATTAATTAATAGGAGACAAAGACCTTTATCACTATGCCTCACTGTGAGGAACGGTTTGTTTACAGGCCTCCCCAAAGTCAAACAGGCTTTCCCTTCACTTAGGCAGATAGCCACTTAACTACGAGGCCTATCACACTAGTATCAGAAAACCACAAGCTGCCCTAGCCAGGTAGCTCAGTGGTGAGAGCATCATCCCAATATACCAAGGTTTCGGGTTGGATCCCCAATCAGGGCACATACTACAATCAACCAATGTGTGCATAATTAAGCGGAATAACAAATCTGTTTTTTCCCCTTTCTCTCTAAGATCAGTATTTAGAAAAACAATTTTTTTAAATCTAGTATCAAATGCGCATCTTTCTTAAATACTGTGGAAATGGTCCCCATAGTAGAAGGTCAAGTGTAAATAATGCTGTTTTCACATTATTTATGCTTTTAAATGTCTCCTGAGGTCCTTACTAACATTTGAAGTCAGACCTCAAAAAACAAATAGGCTCTCCCTGTCTTCTAACTTTCCCTTTCCCCTGTTCTTCCCCCAGGTGTGTCACCTTGCCTTTCTCTCTCTAAGCTTCAAGGGCCCTTCTTCTGCCTGTGCAGCCCAGGTGGCTCACTTCTATAACTTTCTAAATAAACTTTCCTATAATTTGAAGAAAAATAGTATATGCTCCCTACACAATACATAAAGCACAACCATACAATAAATGTATGCAGGAATGGATTCATGTTCAAGTAAACTGTAGAGAAGGAAAAAATATTTTTCCCTTCTACCCTTCTGAGTTCTTGGCTAAAATCTTCAGTAATAAAAGATCAACAAGAGAAAGGCAAACAAAAGACTATTAACATGCAGAACTTGCCGAAACCGGTTTGGCTCAGTGGTAGAGCATCTGCAGACTGAAAGGTCCCAGGTTTGATTCTAGTCAAGGGCATGTACATTGGTTGCGGGCACATCCCCAGTAGGGGGTGTGCAAGAGGCAGCTGGTTGATGTTCTCTCATCGACGTTTCTGGCTCGCTCTCTCTCTCTCTCTCTCTCCCTTCCTCTCTGTAAAAAATCAATAAAATATATATACATTTTTTTAAACATGCAGACCTCCTGTATTCATGGGAGATACTAAGGAAAACTCAGTAACTCCCAGGGACAGCCCAAGTCACCACCTTAAATACCACCTGCAGTTACAGACAAAAGAAAGATGGAGAGGCGGTTAAGGAAGGTTACCAGGAAAAGAACAGTTAGCAAGGGTAAGGTTGTCATGCAGATTTAAGTCACACCTTCTCCAGTAACAGTCTTACAATTTAGTCATCCTTCTTACTGATACACAAAGGAGAATATCCTTACAAATGGAGATTTCCTTTATAAATGTAAATTTCCTGTACAGATGAGTAACTTCTAGTTTTTATGTCTGCTATTTCTCAAAAATAATCAGGCTCGGCCGAAACTGGTTTGGCTCAGTGGTAGAGCCTCGGTCTGCAGACTGAAAGGTCCCAGGTTAGATTCCGGTCAAGGGCATGTACATTGGTTGCGGGCACATCCCCAGTAGGGGGTGTGCAGGAGGCAGCTGGCCGATGTTTCTCTCTCATTGACGTTTCTAGCTATCTCTCTCCCTTTCTCTCTGTAAAAAATCAATAAAAATATATTTTTTAAAAATGTAGCTTTAAAAAAAAAAAAGTTGCTTAAATGAGGGCAACACTATAATTACACTTGGACTATGGAAAAAGCTGTAGAACATTAAAAACTTAGAGGACATTTCAAATCAACTACTCAGAACCACTAATCAATTCTTGGATCTTGGAGTTCTCAGAGAAGGCCTGTATGGCAGTCTTGCAAACTCAGA